CTGCTTCTCTGTCTCATTCTGCAGAATTCATCATCAATCCAATTATCTGGATAATTGAGGACGAATAGGTATGGAACGCAACAGAGCCATGGCTTGGGAAGTGTTTCGGATCACCGTTGCTCAGAATCACCACTGACCTGGCAGTCACTCCAAGGTCCAAACCCCTTTATCCGGCACCCAGAGCCCAAAGGACCCTTCTCTCCCAAGCAGCTGCCTTGTCCTCCACTTCACCTTCAGTCAGCGCCCTTAGTCTTGGTCGAGTTTCTAAAAAAGCTCCTTTTTAGTCATTAAGGGTTTTTTACCTTCCAGATCGTTGGATATAATCCACTTTTGCTCATAAAGAGAGACGTTTTCCCAAACTGACTAAAAGCAGGTGGCTGAACAGTATGAACTCAGTCATGAAGCCCCTTCCATTCTTTATAAATAGACAGAGTCGGCGGAGTTTGTCGTCCAGGACAAGCCACCTCAGCCTTATGACAGACTGGTGCCTCATGAGCGTCCTAGGCCTCATTCTGCTCTTCAGTCTAGCCTCGAGCCAGAAGATGGATCCTTCTAAACACCCTATCGTGACCACTAACTATGGGAAGCTCAGAGGCATCAAGAAGGACTTGAACAATGAGATTCTTGGCCCTGTGGAGCAGTACCTGGGTGTGCCCTACGCCACGGCGCCCATCGGCGATCGCCGCTTTCAGCCACCTGAGGCCCCGGGATCCTGGCAGGAGATCCGCAACGCCACCCTCTTTGCCCCTGTGTGCCCTCAAAATGTTCACGGTGTACTGCCGGAGATAATGCTGCCCGTGTGGTTCACAGACAACCTGGACGTGGCGGCCGGTTACATCCAGAACCAGAGCGAGGACTGCCTCTACCTCAATGTCTATGTGCCCACGGAGGATGGTGAGTGGGGACAGGGTGAAATGAAGGGTTGGTGGATGTGGGACTTTGATGGGTAACATTTAGCACAGGGTGGACTTTTCACTAAGCTCCAAACCCTTTAGTTACTATTACCGTACCGTTCTTGTTGAGCTTTCCGTGCTCACGCAGCAGGCACACAGTTACTGCTGTACATGTGTTTTTTAAGTCTGCAACATCAGGTTCTTGGTAGAAAAAGCCGACTCATCTTTTTGTCTGGCTGCCAAATAGAAGATTATATGTGAAGTTTGTTGTTTGATTGAGGATAACTGACAGATTGTTTTAGCGTTTGCAACCAACACCTTTTAGCTTGTAGCTTTAGTAGGGTCAGTAAAGCTCCAGGCACAAACAGCCGCTCCATGTAGAAGACAGTCTTTTCCGTTGTTAAATATATTTTTATATTTATATATTTTCTTAAATATATTTTAGAAGCTACTTTTTGTTTTTTTTGGTTGTGTTTTTTCCATCTGACTGATAGATCCAGGATTGCTTGCTAGGCAACAGTACCCTCACCTATTCAGTCTTTAAGTGATGACGTATGAATCCTGCTTCCGGGCCCAAACTACTCTGCGTTTTATAAGGCTGTTGTGTTTTTAACATGTTTTACTGCTTCATATCTTGTTGTATTTAATCTCAACAAGCCCCTAAAATCACTCACTGTCGGCTTCTCTCGGTTTTTAT